AAGTCAACGGGCTGTGCGGTAATTTCAACGGTTTCTCAACAGACGACTTTAATCTGAAAAACGGCAGGCGCGCCGTGTCCGCCCAAGAATTTGGGGAAAGCTGGTCACTGGGTCGCAGGAATCACGGGTGCGAAAAAGCCCCCTCGGAACCGGTGAAGTCAACGGTATCACAGTGTTACAGTCATTTGAGGGGATTCAGGCGCGCTCATAAGCGATGCTTGCCTATGAAGAAGCAGTTTGCAAACTGTCACACAAAGGTGAAGCCAAACGCATATTTCTGGTCTTGCGTGGCGGCAGTCTGTCAGTGTACAGGGAGAAGGTGTGAGTGTGACAGTGTTCTGGCCTACGCACGTGCGTGTAGACGCGAAGGGGTCACAGTGAACTGGGGCAGGAAAAATTCTTGTGGTAAGTGTAAGAGTACTACGCATTCTCATAGAGCTATACGTTTGGGTATTAGCATACCGGCCATAGTTATTATCAAAAGTTCGACAGTAGGTCGTTACCTAACGAGGCTGGAAGTTAAGGTTACACAATGTCTGAAACCTCATTCACACTGTAAGAAGAGACCAGCTTTGCCAAGCATGGAATGGGCGACATTTGCTTAATGCAATTTACGCTGTTCGGACTGGCCCAACAAAAAAAATTCAGATTCGAAAGGACCTTAAGTTGACTTTGTCAAGCCGAGTCTTTCCTGCAGTGAAAATGGGGTTGTGATGCCAGTGAACGGGATGAAAAGTAGCTCTCGACTCCTCAAACCCCTTTTGATGACATCTCCCAATGAAGTTCTACATAAGTTATAATTAGCCGGTTGAGGAAAACGTTAATAAAATTTTTAAAAGAGAACTATACTCCTGGAACCTTATCTCTAGATCTGTTTCTCTGCCATCAAAAAGTCGCCCTGATAATTACTGCGGCTTGAGAAACCAAATAGTGGCTTAATCTTTGGGAAGTTTTCTTCAAATGTGCAAAATATTCGCCTTCAGACGGCGACTTTTAAAAACTACCCAGTAACTGAACCTGGCCGCGCGTGCATGACGTCGCAAAGTTCATCCAATTTGGTACTTAAGAACCACAACGCGCAGTTCATAAACAGCTGCTGCTTAGGTTGTCGCAAAAGCTCTTTGTGTAGCCACTAACTGTTCAAAGAGAGCGGTATGAGATGGAAAAAGAAAGGATGTATCCTGTAACGTCACAGGTAAGCGGCCAGGCAGCTGGGAAATTAGGTGAATGAGATGTGAACTTTTGCATCTTTAGGGGGCAAGTTTCCTCAGGCCAGGGAAATCTTACGAAAACACACTCAAAGTAATAATTTTATATACACTTTTTATTGACGAGGGTAAATTCATAGGGTTTGTGGAGTATATTTCTCCTTTAAACAAACCGTTGAGCCATGTTTACGTAAATGCTGTCTTAAGACAGGTGCACAGAAATAACTGAGATAGCACTTTGCACTCACTGCACGACATTTATCAAAAAGAAATTCCAAGATAAATTTTGAGTTTCTATTTTCCTGCTTGTAAGGAGTCTCTTGCAAAGGAGGCGCTGTCTTTGATGACTGCGCTCCTGTCTGTCAGCGGACGTGCGACAACAAGGATGACGTAAGTGTTCCATGTCCCAGCAGCTCTTGCGTACCGGGTTGTCGGTGTCCGGCGGGAACTGTATGGAATAATCAAAGGACAAAATGTATTGCTAAGAGGAAATGTCCTTCACAGGTGAGGTGGCTGCGGGGAAGATGTGCTAATGATTAAACAATCTGATGTCGCAAAAGAACTGGAAAACACACCGATACCTTTTGGAAATTTTTTCTATTTGCTTCGCAGAAGAAAACACACCAGGGTTTTAATCTGAAACATACCCGAAGAAAAGACTGATAGCGCCTTTTTCTTACCCCCTCGAAAAAAATTCTACTTTACACTTGAAGTTTTAACACCTTTGATGTTATTTAAACATGGCTGTTTGTCGAAAAAAGCCAACTTGAATCATACAACTTGAAAGCTCATCGACTCTTCCATCGTCAAAGAAGTGCCAACGCAATAAATATCCAACTAGTGGTGGAAAGTTACCTATTGCAAATTTAAAAATATAGTAAACAGCATTCACCACTTCTTGAAAATATCACTGCTCAACCAAAAAGAAAAAAACTTTTCATTTAGTACCTTGTCTAAAAATTATCAGTGAAACAGTAAAATGAATGAACACTTTCCAGAATTGAGAAATTTATAAAGGTCACGCAGTCGGTGGTGCAAAGTGCTGTGTGACAACAATAAAAGAGGCGTATATGGCGTAGAAACTATGCAATTTTTTCACTACTGAAAAAAAATTGTTTTGAAGCCATGATTCTGAGTGTGTTTTCAGCTTCAAAAGAGTTTTCTTTACCTGATGAAATTTGCCTTTGAAAGAAGCAAACATCTGGCTCAGCGTAACAAAGTTTCCCTCCCCATTTCTTTCAATTATGGGAGGCTTGGTTAAAGTGCACCTAAAACAATTATTCGACAATATT